CAGAAGGTCCAGTTGTGATAGCCACGGTTCGCCACTGCTATGTTGGGGAAGTAAACAAAGGACTACGATTGAGGAGGGGGAGGGAGTGTGGGAGAGAAACTCCCACTTCAGGGAACTTTGGGATTTTAGCCTTTGCAGACCATTTACATGCACTAAAAGCTATAACACACTACAGGAAAGGGAAAAAGCATAATAGGGCCCCTTTAAGAATTCTCCCATTAGTCTCTTTATTTTAGATATGTCGTCGTGCCTTGTGAATAGATCTTTAAAATGAATAAGCTTTATATTGAGAACATACATGAGGAAATGTCAATTCTCAGTGGAAATCAGAAGAACAAATAATGTACTCTAATTGGCCATTAATCGCCAATAATCAAGGACAATTCAGTCTTTGCTAGTCAATGATTATTATTTATGTGACAAATGACTTCCTGCGGTAGCTGAGCTCCCTTAGGCCTTTTATTTCTGCCTGTTTGTTTCTCTTGGTGTTCACAGTGTGGGAGCACTGTGTGGTTACTGCACACTAAATGCTCCCATACGTTATGTTTGCTGTTGTTGGCTATTAATCAAATGATTTGTGATACATTACCTTGTGGGAGGTGTACAATAAAAGCAGTGCACAGCCTGCAGCCTTACTTTTGTTTTTAGATATACAAGTGGTGGGTTTTTTTCTCTTTTAACTGAGATGAATTGAGCATGGAAGTTCTATTGAGTTATTTTAACCATCATTTTGGAAATATATCATCTTTAGAGACATGTGTTTTTTCGAGTCTACAATTGTCCTTTTTGAGGTCATTTGTTGTTTTTAAGAAGTTAAACTTTGATACTTTCTCAAGAAACTTTAGTAAGTTTATTTTGGGCATCTGATTTCTTCATATTGTCAGTGTGGTTCAGCCATTTTTTACTTTGGGTGTGACAGCTCAAATGTGTTTTCTCTCAAACAGGTTGAGAGGAAGACGTTAAAGAAGATAGATGAGACACTTTGTAGCTCAGAGAAGATATGTGAAAGGATTGTGTCTTGGAAAGAAGCTGACTGTTGGCCACATGGTCGTTGTGTTCTTCAATTTGACTTTTAACATTCAACGTGTTTTGGTAACTTTCCACTTGCTGATATATTCTTCTGTTCAAAATCCACCTGCTTAAGTTTCAGTATTTTTTTTAAATGCATTATTGAAAATTAAATAGTATAAGGGCAGTGAAGAGATGACGGGAAATGAGGGGGGAAATAAGGAGCGATCATTCAATAAAGTTCATGGTCCACCATTTAAACAGCTATCAAGTGGTGATTACAGGACGGGGGACCAAGAGGATCATGGGAAATCAGAAATACATACAGGTCTGCAGTTTAATTAGACGACTAACTGATTACTCGATTGATACATTATAATTAGCAGGGAGAAAATTGCGTTGTTGGCATCTCAGGTATGGAGATTCCCTGCTTTTGTGTGTTTTATACCATATTACTCTGAAACACTTTAGATTTTGGACTGACAAAACACACATTCAAAGACATCACATTCGACATTAGATAGACCAAATGATAAATCTCGGAAATGATCTGAAGATCATCAATGAAAATGATCCGGATTTGCAGCCCTACCCCTGATACGCTGGCCGATTGTTGGTGGGGGGGCTCGAGGCGGGTGCAGTTTATATTTCCCTTCAGATATGCCCCTGACCCATAGGCCAAAAAAGTTTGTCATTGTCCTTTATCTTTCTGTTACAACTTATGAATTCCTGATTGTGAACATTTCTAATGATATAATGCAATATGTTCAGATGTGAAATCACAGTGTCAATGAATGAAAGTCCCATAAAGTGAGCAGGTAGGTAGTGAGTATAACAAAAAATAATATGAGAGTACTTTACAACCCTGATAAAGCGATCTCTTTCTATCCCTGTGTCTCCTATCTCTCTTCCATTCTGTAGCTGTGTCTCTCTTTCTGCCATTCTCCGGGGGTAGTTAAAGGATAATAAAGCCGATAGCTGAAGGTCTGTATTGATTCTGGGGATGCTTCAGACAGATTGTGGTCTGAGAGGCTTATGTTCTTCACGGTGATAACGGTTGCTCTTATCTGAGGCCAGAGTTGTCACACTGCAGGGCTGCACTCCCTTTTTATTGTTAACCTCTCTCAGCATGGCATGGAAGTTTTTAGACAGAAAATGGCACCACAAGCATTAGGAGTGAATGTGTGTTCTGTATTACCGTACTGCGGGTGCTCATTAGCAGATGTAACACGCACAGGAAATGGTTAAAACAGAGTGTGATTCCACTATCTTCCCTGAGGCTAAAATAAAAGTGTTGCTGGGGCGCTGTCTAAACACTTTCGTCATGTCTTCCATTCTTTGTCTCATCTCTCTCATTTTTTCCTTTTTTGTCTACCTTCTCGCTTGTCTTCCCCCTCCTTTAGCACCCTTCTGTCTTCCCCCTCCTTTAGCACCCTTCTGTCTCCTCTGTCTCCTCCATCGCCTCCCGTTCTCTCGCTGCGTTTCTCAGATTCGTCAGGTTTTATAACACTTGTTTGTTTAGTCTCAGTCGTCAAGTGGTGGCAGTAAAAGTTATCACATTGTGAAGCTCCTGTTGACTAAAGCGTTGCGTTGGGTGTTATCTGTGGACGTCGTACGGTCAATGCAAGATTATAGCTGAGAAGAAACGGGCAGAAATGATCTGAAGACCGTTGCTTTTGTTTGTTAATGTGCTTTAAATATAGACTTTAGTACAAGTGTCTTCGATGCACAGAACACAGCACAGTAAAAGTGCATTTAATCAAAAATGATGGGAGCTTCAAACTTGCAACCTAAAAACTTTATTTTATTCAACTTTTTGAAAATAATGTTTTTGAATACAAGACAAAAATATACAAACTTATTTTATGGTATATCTTAAATCACTAATCTTTTTTTTAAACATGAATTGAATAAATATATAAATAAATATGATAATAACTAAAAACCAACAAATATTAAACTACTACACTTAAAATAAATTTAAATTAATAAAATGACTATTCTTGTGATTTTCTCACAATAAGAAATGGGAATAGGCATGGATTTCTGGATAAAAAATAATTAAAAGATAAATTAAACAGACTAATAATTCAAGTCATTTTTAGCTCCTCAAATGTCAGGATTTGTGATTTTAACATATCTGTTAGGTACGCTTTTTGGTTTTGAAGACATTCAATCAGGTTCTTGGAAATTGATTGTATTTTTCATTATTTTCTGACATTTACTAGCAGTTAAATCCATTATCTAAAACAAAATATTACTTGCAGCTTGACTTGTAAGACAAACCTTATGTGGTATTGCACATCTAAAATGTTTTACATAAACACATTTTAGATGTGCAATACCAAGGTTTGTTTATACGACTCTAAATCCTAAGTGTATAGACCAGATTCCTTATGAACCCTCAAGGCTTTGATTAAATATAGCATGGCAAACTGCATCCATTTTTGGAGGATTTCAACTTAGATGTTGGTGTATTGTTACCCGTTAAGCTGCTGGGAAAGGAAAAGAAGCCCTCTTTCATCATTGCACCCTACGTAGCATTTATACCATTTAAAGTGTGGTGTGTGTGTGTGTGTGTGTGTGTGTGTGTGTGTGTGTGTGTGTGTGTGTGTGTGTGTGTGTGTGTGTGTGTGTGTGTGTGTGTGTGTGTGTGTGGTGTGGTGTGGTGTGTGTGTGTGTGTGTGTGTGTGTGTGTGTGTGTGTGTGTGTGTGTGTGTGTGTGTGTGGTGTTGTGTGTGTGTGTGTGTGTGTGTGTGTGTGTGTGTGTGTGTGTGTGTGTGTGTGTGTGTGTGTGTGTGTGTGTGTGTGTGTGTGTGTGTGTGTGTGTGTGTGTGTCTGGTTTCAGGCTTTTAAGATGTTGCAGATAACACTTCTGTGCGACCATCCACTCAGGATACAGTTACTCTGTTTGTAGCGATGATTTATTCTCTGTGGAGTTCTGCTGAGGCTATTGAAACCCAAACGCTGTTTTGCATTTGCAGTAGAGGCATACATACACACACACACACCACACACACACACACACACACACACACCACACACACACACACACACACACACACACACACACACACTATCAGGATATTGCCTGAGGGAGCGTTTTACCCAGTGAAAAGCTCTTTATGTGTCAGAGACTCTCCAACTGTCCCTCTGAGAGATTGGCCCTCAGTTCAGGTTACAAAAAGATGGCTCTGTGATTGATGCAAACAACAGCGCTCATTTGACTTCAGACTTTTCGTAATAACATCTTACAATGAAAATGGAAACTTTGCAAAGACCCAAAAGTGAACAATAAGTACTCTAACATGTCTTAAAATCTGGATACTGCCAATATTTGTCCTGTAAAAATGCGTGTGGCAGATGTGTGGAGTCGTAGCTGACTTCATGGGCTCCTCTGCCAGCCTCTACTGAATAGCCTGATATAAAGGGATGGTTTAATTAGGCACCTTGTTGCCAGATTGCAGACATTTCTTTGGAGGCGAAGCTGCTTTGGATCCAGAAATAATCTCAGTTGTTGAGTCGCAGCTCAATGGACTGCGCCAAATAACCTCGGAGGAACTTCGGTAACTAACAAACATGAATTCCAAAGAAGAAACTCTGGGGGAAATATGTTGTTTTCTTCACCTAGCTTGACAGAAACATAAAAGACACATGTGACATAGTGAGCCCCCTTCTTCCCCACAGTCATTTTCCATCTTTTTTTTTGCGATTTTCTTCCTTGATCATCAGTTTAATATTTCATAATGTACAACAACCACAAAAAGAGTTACAATTAGCTCTGCGCTTGTAAACATGAAAGCATGAGCAGTCCCTAAAATAAGTTTTTCTTCTAGATGCTGATGGTACCCTACATATCTCATAAGCATTTATATTGTTTTAATCGCTATTCATTGCAATTGTATGTTAGATATGTTATACATTGGAATAGAATAATGCACTACAAATACATTTTGGTGCCTGAAGTTGTATTATGTCTCGTGTGTGTGCAGCGCCGTCCCCGGTGAGCGTGGTGAGGAAAGGTGTGACGGGGAAGAGCAGCATCGCCATTTCTTGGGCGGAGCCTGACCGCCCCAACGGCATCATCCTGGAGTATGAGATCAAGTATTTTGAAAAGGTAAACAACAGTTTGAAAGAAATGTTCGTATAAGAAGTTGCTCTGGTCTAAGGCTCACATTCTCATATTCTCAAGTCTCTAGGTTTTGTATGCACTCTTAAGCTTAGTTTATTTAATATACAGTAAGCCAAGCTGGAAATATGCCAATCCAGCTTTATAATTGTCCTTTTGGGAAACTTTTAACTACCACGTAAAATAAATCCATACAATAAATGCTGCATATAAATATATAAATGTGATTAAGATTTAAAGTACTTTTTCATTTGGTGTTTATGGTCAATGCTATGTTCGACTGAATGCACACGCAGTACCACACAACAACTGTGTACTCAGTTGTGTATGAAGAAGATATCTGGTTGAAAGTTAGTTAAATAAAGGTTATAAGACTCCACTATTGAATGGATTTATGCTTTTATCACCCCTGTGCTCCACAATTCAAAAACGTTATATATTTGCAGAAACGTATTGATTAAGATGAATTAAATTGGCCCTCAGAGATACATCTGAATAAACATTGAATTCATTTTAATTTTACCGTTCCGCCAACCTTGACCTTATACAGACTCTTTCATGTGGCAGAGAAAAGGAACACTCGGATTAAGCTCTCTTTTATAAAACTAAGACTTAGGTAGAGACGGCAATGTGATGCTTCTATTCAGGTCATTGTTCCTGTGCCCTTCCTCTTTTCTCTCTTTAGTCCTCCGATGTCTTCCTTCCTGGGAAGGTCAGAGTACATGTATACAGGGGAGCAGAGCAGAGCAGGGTTTGTGGTCAGTGGTTAGCTAATGGCTTCTGGCTAATGGAGGGGCATTTAGCTTTGTTTAAACCTGATGCGGTTACAGTCGTGAAATTGACCCTTACACACATGCAACCACACACACACACACACACACACACACACACACACTCACATACTACAGGTTGCTTAGACATACAAATGTGTGGGAGAAAAAGGGGAACTTGTGCCTATCATAAGAAAAATGTGCAAAATCTGAAACAAAAAAACGTTCTAAAATCTACAAATATGTTACAAAAGTGAATGTATTATAATAACTTCTCCCCTTTCTTCGACAGGAGCAGGACTCCAGTTATACCATTATAAAATCCAAGGAGACTGAGATGGTGGTGGAAGGCCTGAAGCCCTCTTCAGCCTACATCTTCCAGGTCAAACATGGGTTAAACATTTTTTTTTAACAGTGTGCAGAACAAAAGCCCTTTAGTGTAGTCTGAGAGGAGAAGATATTAATAAGCAATTAGAAAGACATATTTAAATCAATGTCATGTATAACCAGTCGTGGAATATAAATAAGCATACTTCCAAGTATTATTTTAAAGCACAATTACATGTTTGACTTTATGTTCCTTTATACTCTTGCTTATATTCATTATTGACGACAACAGAAACATATTTCCCCTTTCCTTTAGTGTATTATATATGTTTCTCTGCGTGTCAAAGGTACCTTTTCAAACATTAAAGTATTTAAACATGTCATAGTCAAATAAAATAAATGCAAATATTAACCTGAACATTTGCATAATATGGCCCCTTTAAGCATATTTTGCTCATCATATTTCTATACCTTCAATATTTTAGAGTTCTTTTAAACCATGGTATTTCTACTTTTATATTAGATTTTAGTTCTTTGTTCATCCCCGTGGGTAAAACATTTGAATATACAGTATATAAAACTATGGTGTGATTATATTTGTTGCATTACAGGTGAGAGCCAGGACCTCGGCAGGCTACGGCGCATTTAGCCGACGTTTTGAATTCCAGACCAGCCCTTACTGTGAGTACACCTCAGAGAGAGAGCCTGAGCGTATCATTTCAACTTGTACACGACTCCCATAGACTTTCTGGAGGCTGCACCAACAACAGATCCCAGGTGTGCTTTTGTGTGTTTGTACTATTTGTGTCTTATCCCACCTCTTCTCTTTGGCAGTAACTGCAACCAGTGAGCGTGCTCAAGCCTCGATCGTAGCGGTGGCCATCACGTTGGCTCTGGTCCTGCTGGCGGTGGTCGCTGGATTCCTGCTAAGTGGACGGTAGGACATAAATACACACCAGAACGAACATAGACACAACCTGGAAAGCATGATATCCAATCTCTGTGCAGGTGGAGACAACATTTTACCGAGATGAGACATTTTCATGAGTTTTTATCATTAAATCCTAGAGAAATTGCCATCGAAGATACTTTGTTTTTAGTACAAGCCTCAAATGTTCACATAATATATAATTATAGTAGGGTGATGCGTAGAGTTTATTGAAAGACCTACAATCTTTGAGCAGATAAGGGGGTCTTTACATAGTGAAACCCTAATTTCTTTGTTCTTCAAGACGCGCAGCAAAGGACTCATGTGGTATGTGTATATATAGTAATTTTTCCTTCGTCAGAGGCCATCCCTTTGTCCTAATCTGACCTCTTGATGACTAACAAAATGACCAGATGTCAAATCTCCTTTGTGACCCAGATATTTCTGTGTTGAAAAGCAGCATTATGGGATTAAACGCATTGGTTTGAGGCCTGTGTGTAAGAGGTTAGGATTAAGGTTGGCTTTTTTAGGTTGTGGCTTCAGGGTTAATGCTTGATTTGTGAATCAGGAGGTCCTGAATCACAGAGGAACAAAGCACACAATGCATGAATCCACAGTGCCTTGAGTACATTTAACAATGCCTTAGTGGTGGCTGTTGAAACTTAACATAACTGTCATCACAAACAAGCAAAAAGCATTATTTATTTACATGTGTTTATTAATCAGAGCATTCACAATAATCATGTGAAATCAGCAGGTTTGCATCTGTCTCACTTCTGTGTGTAGATTGCTACAACGGGGGGGGAAATGGAAATACCCAGGCTTGCTAAAAAACAGTGGGATATTCTGTCTTTCTTTCTGTCCAACAAGCTTTTTGACTAATTTACCTAATTACGCTATACTAATTTTACCATTTTACAACGCTAACACCTTCTAATGGCAAGAGGTGCCAGATTCACGCAAATAAGTGTAGCTTTCAAATTGCTCCATACATTACACTCTGCGTTCATGTTGTATTTGCATGCCTCCAGACTAATACAACAGACAATTAACCTCGTCTTGTAATTGTTACAAGCATATTTTAATATGATTTCCAAACATCAACAGACAGTATACAGAAATGCACGGTGGCCGTCAGGTGCAATCGCAAGATTCCTTCCTTCCTTCCAGATCTAACTCAGCTAATCTACTTATTTCAAATATACTGACAAAACACTTAATAAAACAAACCAACTCTGCCAACATTTACAGTTGGCCAACTTTACAATGTTTCAGATGTGTTTTGAGCTTCTTGCAGCATTCTTTTTATTGGCAACGTTTTATTTATTTTTTATTTATGTGTTGATAATTCTTAATTCTCATGTGTTTTGGCACATTTGTTGTAATTTTTGAAACTGCAGCACATTTCTCCTAATGGAAGTGTTTTGGGCCTTTGAAACACGTTTTCACCTGTCGGCCACCGTAGAAATGCAAAAGATGTATATTGTGAAAAAAACCACATGCAAAGAAATGCAATCACTCTGTAGTTTTGAGAAGACAGTCAAACTATTTTCGTCGGATGAAATCCTTTGTCTCTAAATAAAGTCCCTAAATTCATTGTACTATTTAACTTTTTAGCCTGAATATTCTGCTTAACAGCATTATCTGTGATATGTAAGTTAATTACCAGATATATGCCTGAATGCCTTTAGTGAACCATAACTAACAAAGCTAAATGCACTTTTAAAAAACTCAGGGTGATTGGTGAACATCCTGCCGTCTCCCTATTCGTTAATTTGTAATATTGATCCTCAACCCATCTATACATGGGGCTGATCATTCACTTTTTTCACCCATGCTTACACTTCAATTTGAACTCTTCCCCTTTAACTCTTAGGTCATCATTTTAGTAATTTATTTCATACTGTATTCGATGATTTATTCATATGCTGGTGAATATATTTGACAGAATGATCAGATGGATGGACAGTGGAGGATCTGGTGAGGATTAAAAAGGAAATCGGAAATACCCAGTGGTGGTTTTGGTTTAGCCAAAACAGGGGATGAGGATCGCTCTAGTTTTCGTGTGGGGGAGGAGACATGGAGGAATGCCAGATTTTCCATTGATTTGGAACACAAGCACCACAACCCCCCTCCAACCACTGTATCCCCCCTGCCCGACCCTCCAGACTCCACCCGCATGCATAGACATCCAGCACACATGTGTGTCACACACATACGCGCAGATGCATCGTACGCATGGTTAACGCACACACATAGGAAGTAGGAGGGGTCTGGCTGGGCATGAGTGTTATCAAACCCCTTGACTCAACAGATCCAGCAAACTAAACCCCCCCCAGGCATACACACATCCAGACTCCCCTCCCCCAGACTATACAGCTGCCCACACCAAACCCCTCTAGCCAAGCTGGGCTATCCTACAGAGATTGTGTTGTGTGTGTGTGTGTGTGTTGGTGTGTGTGTGTGTGTGTGTGTTGTGTGTGTGTTGTGTGTGTGTGTGTGTGTGTGTGTGTGTGTGTGTGTGTGTGTGTGTGTGTGTGTGTGTGTGTGTGTGTGTGTGTGTATGTGTGTGTGTGTGTGTGTGTGTGTGTGGGTGTGTGTGTGTGTGTTGTGTGTGTGTGTGTGTGATGTGTGGTGTGTGGGTGTGTGTGTGTGTGTGTGTGTGGGTGTGATGTGTGCTGTGTGTGTGTGTGTGATGTGTGTGTGTGTGTGTGGTGTGTTGTGTGTGTGTGTGTGTGTGTGTGTGTGTGTGTGTGTGTGTGTGTGTGTGTGTGTGTGTGTGTGTGTGTGTGTGTGTGTTGTGTGTGTGTGTGTGTGTGATTATCTTTCGATCCCATTTGAATTGTGCCACGAATTACACATGATGTTTGTCAATTTAAAAGATAATTTTGCAAGTCAAAAAATATAAAAATGTGCCGTAAAGCTGTGAAGTAACACATTTTTTTTGTGTGAAACGCTCAATGAACTACATCTGCCGTCTCGCACCAACACCAAGACGGCCGTGACCTTGGCACATTTCATTTCTTCCTTTCAGAATGAGGCGAAAAGTATTAAAAGAGGTAAAAATCACTACAAGTCTGGGCATGTTGAGAGCTGTACATACACAAAAGGGGAGTTAGTTGGTTCCGTAAGAGCCAGCATGCGGGACTGAGATTATGGGATTTGTAGTCTTTCTTGTTGCGTATTTTTCATAGTCTTATATTTCAACAGTTTTACGACAAACTGTGACTTTTTTGACATGGAAATGATTCTTTAAGATTGACAAACATCATATGTGTAATTCGTGGCACAATTCAAACCGGAACGAAAGATAATCTTTCTCTCCCCATTGACTTCAACACGTAATTTTTCCGAAATAAGGTCCCATGGGGCGGAAGTAGATGGGCGTGACTTCGCCACTCTATAAAGATATGGGCATCAGAGAGAATGATATCATGGATGCAGACAGCATTTATTTAATTTCTCTTAATGTTGCTCTTTCCTTTGGTGCTTCCTCCTCTGCAAAGTGGTCAGAGTTGATCTGTTGACAAGGCTTTTGTTAGAAAATGCTTTTTTATAAACTGCACTCCTTTGCTAATATCTAAAAGGCTGGTGGTTTTCAGTATTTTCAGCAACCTACGAGGAAATAAAATGCTTAGTTTGCACTTGGATCCAAATATGATTTTGCCATGTGCTTGCTAGGTTTAGCTTTTTATTGTCTGGGTCATTTTGTGGTACCTTTACTGGGATCTCTGCCTGTTGTTGTTTCTTCCCTCTCACTGAAAATGTAACTATATGCTCCCTAGGATGTAAGGCAATATTTTGTGTTTTTTCATACTATAAATGTGGTAATTTGTGTAAGAAAAATTACATCTCTGGCTTTCAACAGCAGGTCAATGTAATGAAGTGTTCTCGTTTGTTGTTGGTGATTTGCAATTCAAACAAATGTAATTGTAGGATCCTTTGCAAAGACAAAACACTAAAGTGCCGTAAAAGTACCTATATTAATTCATATAACACCTTTTGTTCAAACTTGATTAACAACGTGCTTTAACAAAACTACTATACAACAATAGGATGATTATAGCGTAGTTAGAGAGGGTAGATACAGATTATAATGTGTCAGGTGATTAATAAAATGCCAAAACAAACATGTATGTTTTAGGACTTTTGTTTTTTAAACTATCCACAGATTTGTTATGCCATTTGCTCCTTTTGGCAGGCTATTCCAACACGACCTCCCTATATGTCTTTGTCCTCGCCCTTGGAATAATACAAAATGTGTTGTTAGAGGACCTGAGTGATCTGGGGTTAGCATACATTTAGAGCTTGTAATCCATTTATAGACAATTTGTCTATAAATGGCAGCATATAAAGACTAAACCTCACACGTCCCAGGATAGAGCCTTGAGGAACCCTACACATTACGCTAGTGTCAATCAAGGAGTTGTAACTAAGGGCGACAGAATAATCTGTAGTTTTGACATACAAAACGTTTTTGACATTGATTGATGTACTTGTGTGTTCTGCCTCTCAGGCGGTGTGGCTACAGCAAAGCAAAGCAGGATCCCGAAGAGGAGAAAATGCACTTCCATAATGGTCACAGTAAGTGGTTATGTGTGTGTGTGTGTGTTGGGCTTGTTGGCGGGTGGGCAAGTTCACCCTGAGTTTCCACAACAGGTCATGTACAGTAGAGGGTTCAGACAGCGGTCATGTCTGTATTACTTTGTTTCATCCCTGTCGGCCTACACACGTGTCTGTGTGTGTGTTCAGTTGATAGTGTTTTGCACTCTGAGCTATTCTTTAAATGACACAGCTACAGGCCAGACCAATGGCAGCCATGTTGGCAGAGGAAACACAAAAGCTATGATGATTTATAAGGGGTGACAACCTAATATATTGGGCTGAATTTTGGCCGTTGCAGCATGCCATCCATCTGCTGGCATCAGAAGCCACCGTGACGGGTACATCAGTGGATAGCAGTGCCAGGATGTGTGGTACACTGTCATATTGATTCATGTCATGAAAGAAAATAAATGTTATTTACTTATCATGGCCACAAAAAGTGACTGAAATAGTGTTTAGCGTTGGGATGATTAAAAGGTATGAATCATTGTCAAAATGTTTACATTTATATAGAATAGGCACCAATTCTTACATCATTTCTCATAAAAGATGTTTAATAAAAGAGAGAGAGAAAGGGCAAATACGGGAAAGTGGAAATATTTTTTTAGCCAAATACATTCACCTGCCCACCCAGCAATGCTTGTTATTTTTACGTTATATATTTTGGAATGCATCAGTTTATCGTAAAAGATAATTATTTCTAGGTGGAATTTCTCCTGTTTTGCTGCAGCCAATAGGAGACAATGGTTGTTGAGAAGCAGTCAATTGATCGTTTGCCTTTGATATTTCCTGTAAAATCAGTTTTAAGATTTATAAGGACTTTTTGAGTTAGCTTCTTATATTGCAATTACAATATAAGAAGCTAGAAATTATGTTGATAAAATTAGAATGACATCTTTTATCACAGATTTGATTATTTAATGTATTAATATCATAATATAGAACATTAAGTAGAAATGTATTTGAAAAACAAACAAATCAAGCTACTCTTGAATTCAATAGGGATGTATTCTGATGTGAATACAAGCCTGAATAAATGTTAATGATGGTAAATCACATCTAAATGGTAATGAAGCAATGCCTGTGTGTTCACAGTAAAGTTCCCTGGCGTGCGCACCTACATTGACCCGCTCACCTATGAAGATCCCAACCAGGCGGTGCATGAATTTGCTCAGGAGATCGACGTCTCGTTCATCTCCATAGAGAGGATCATCGGAGCTGGTGAGTGCCTGCCTGCCTGCCTGCCTGCCTGCCTGCGTGCGTGCGTGCGTGCGTGTGTTTTTTCTGATCCTGAGCATCGTCTGGGGCTGATTTGGCCTGATGTATCACAAAATATATTATTGTTCATTTTAAACTGAATCTGTGTTTACACACACTCAATGTACAGTTGTAACTGTAATTCATTAAGCCTCATTGTGTCATGTCAAAATTCAACCATTTTCTCATTACCTATACTGAATAAAAAGGCATCATATACAGTTGCAAGAAAAAGTATGTGAACCCTTTGGAATTACCTGGATTTCTGCATAAGTTGGTCATAAAATGTGTTCTGATCTTCATCTAAGTCACAACAATAGACAAACACAGTCTGCTTAAACTAATACCACACAAAGAATTATATATTTTCATGTTTTTATTGAACACACCATGTAAACATTCACAGTGCAGGGTGGACCCCTAGGCTAAAGACTTCTTCAAGAGCTAATTGGAGTCAGGAGTAGGCCAACCTGGAGTCCAATCAATGAGACGAGATTGGAGTTGTTGGTTAAAGCTGCCCTGCCCTATAAAAAATAACACCAGTTTTGAATTAGCTATTCTTAAGAAGCATTGCCAGATGTGAACCATGCCTCGCACAAAAGAGCTCTCAGAAGACCTACGATTAAGAATTGTTGACTTGCATAAAGCTGGAAAGGGTTACAAAAGTATCTCTAAAAGCCTTGATGTTCATCAGTCCACGGTAAGACACATTGTCTATAAATGGAGAAAGTTCAGCACTGTTGCTACTCTCCCTAGGAGTGGCCGTCCTGTAAAGATGACTGCAAGAGCACAGCGCAGAATGCTCAATGAGGTGAAGAAGAATCCTAGAGTGTCAGCTAGAGACTTAAAGAAATCTCTGGCACATGCTAACATCTCTGTTGACGAATCTACGATACGTAAAACACTGAACAAGAATGGAGTTCATGGGAGGACACCACGGAGGACACCACGGAGGAAGCCACTGCTGTCCAGAAAAAACATTGCTGCACGTTTGAAGTTTGCAAAAGAGCACCTGGATGTTCCACAGCACTACTGGCAAAATATTCTGTGGACAGATGAAACCAAAGTTGAGTTGTTTGGAAGGAACACACAACGCTATGCGTGGAGAATCCAAAGGGTTCACAAACTTTTTCTTGCAACTGTATTCTTCAACCAGTCACATTTATAATTGGGCGTCATTGTATAGAAGCAGGTTTGTACACACTGTTAGAGATTTAAAGGGATATCTGATCCGCTTTTCAAATCTCCGCGCGTCCCTATCAAGCTGGTTAATACAGGAAGGAATCCAGAGCTACCAAATAACCGTTAAACAATAATCTACTTTAATGATAATATGACAATGCAATACAATCAATACAGTACAAATTTAATACAAATTACCCTTGGGATCCCGAATTTACCTGCACGTGTGCCAGCCAGAGGAAAGAGGCTGAACACCGCGTGTGTGTCTGTTTATACTCTTTGACAATGGGAGGAGTTATCAGATCCTCCCATTTAGAGCTCATTGATTGGCAGCCCAAATATCACAGACACCTCCGACCTTAGGTTTCCCAAACCACTGTAGTTAGATAAGTTGAATGCAAATCAAGACATGCTCTCACCTTCCCCCCCATCTTCCTTTGTCCTCAAAAACACATGTCAACAGGCCCCACATCCAGCTCACAGTTTTACCCAAATTATTCTCATTTTAAGCGTATCCATAGTTTGCTAACATGAATAAATCCAAATATAACTCTACAAATCCCCCTATTTATCTCCTTCTCCAGAGATAAACTTAGACAAGGCATTTTGAAATATACCCACTGTCATTCTTTTCTACTGTGTCCGTCCCCCAAACATTGTATAAATCCATCCGAAGCTGGTATTTAGAGTACTTGAAAACTTCATGGAGACAGAACACCACTTTCCATGGCAGTGAAGGAACCATGAGGGGGCAGCTGAGTGCTAGAATCATCAGCCCACCCCCCCCTCGGAGGAATAGCCCACAAGGACAGCTAATAGGGAGGGGGAGATGCGGCTTTCTCTTCACGGGTGGAACTGATCAGAGAGAAGTAGACTCCTCTGCTGCCTCGACTTGCCGTGTCTTTGTCCCCCCGATCCGCTGACAGCAGCTTCTGGGCTGCCTGCTAGAGAGATGTCTTCCTCCTCCTCCTCCTCCGGCCCGCTGATGGCGGCTTCCGGGTCGATGCTGTAGAGATGTCTTCCTCCTCCTCCTCCTCCGGCCCGCTGATGATGCCTCCCGGGTCGTCTGCTGTAAGGATGTCTCCAGGGTCCTGCTCCTCCAGTCCGCTGCTTCCGAGTAGTCCACGTCTGCCAGGGCCACGTCCGTCCTGATGTCGTCCCCTGGTCCTAGTAGGTGGTTTCCCCGCCGCACACTGGCTCCTGTGGTACGAGCTGTCCTCCTTTTCTCCCAGGCAGACAGCATAAGAGGTCCGCTGGATCACTCGGTCGGGGCCGGAGAGCCTGGGGTTGAGCCACTTTGTCCTGATGACTTTCAGCCCGACGAACTCTGCTGTGTCGGCCTCGTGCTTCTCGGGTCCCCCTTTTGGCGCCAGCAACCTGTGTGGAGAAATCTGATACAACTCCCTCAAGCCTACGCTCAGCTGTTTTGACCCACTTGGAGCCTCTTGGTGGGGTGTCTTGAAACAACAGCCGTCTGTGAACAGGTTTTCCAAATTAATTGTAGACCTCCTATCTGCCAGTGCAGCTTCAGAATCTTAATACTTGGATTGTGCCAACTAAATAAGAACCCCAACATCTTTAGGTAAACTAAATAACATATTTCAATAGCTCTGAATTTCTGACAAGCATCCGTGTTTATTTTTAAATGAAATCCTATTTAAAATCCAAATATAATATGAACTGCTAATGTTTCTGGTAAAGAAACACACTAATGTTATGGACTCAAAAACAACCAAAATCACGATGCTAACAAAGTGAATGATTTCCTGGTGATACTGCTTCTACCTGTCAGTGCTTAGATATTATCACGCTGAAAAAATGAATACAGAATTCCAACAAACTGTCATCAAATGTCTTTCTATTATAAATGTAGATGAAATGTATATCCCCATAATGACCTAAACAATAAAGTCTATGGCTTTTACTTCTTTACCAGGCTAGTTACATGATGTTGTCTAAATTAAATTCTGTCTCATTACATTACTATGTTTTAGCTTTAACTGTAATATGTTCTTTCTACATTTCAAACCTCAGTTACTCTAATGTCTGTTAAAATCTTACAAAATTGTTTCATTATCACAGGTCAACTTCTTCGGTTTCACAGTAGCCCCTTGGCCACTGCTTCTTTGTTACCCGTTATAATTCAAATCAATATTTAGAAACATCTCAACATTCATCAAACAGTATCTTATCCCCAGATATGGAGCAGGTTAATTACATTCAATGCTCAGTTTGAACATCTGGGTTGGGGCGGAAGGTTTCTGTCAATCCTTAAAAGAAAAATTTAAATTGTGAATTTTACAGCCATGTTGAGATTTATACATTATACTCACTCCCCCCTTTTACACATGAAATCATGTGTAACAAAACCCTGTAATGGGAGGGGAACAAAAACTGTCAGGTAATTGGTTAGGGACATAACGAACATTATTTACAATTTGACATCCATTATCATTATTTCCACAGTAAACACTTCAGTGAAAATAAGTGTTCCTCTCCGTCCTTCAGGCCTAAAAGAAAGAGAATCTTCAGATTTTAGTTTTACATTTGCAAACCGCCAACTCATGTGAGAGGAACCGGGTCACATGTGCGGTTTCCCCTTTTTATGGAATTTTTAGGAAACCTCTCGTTTCCCTTGGAGCTCCAAAATAATATGTTAGTCCAAAAACATGCTTGGTTGGTTATTGTGTTAGAATCATGCAGTTACACCGATCACCTGCCGGCATTCATTCACACTCACACTGTCTGGTTGTCATGTCAAGTTTGGTCAGCTTCACCCCAGAGTCAGTCATCCACAGTGCCTTGTCAAGTGACACTGTCGGTCAGGGTCAAAGGTCAGTTGGTCTCCGTCTTTTTTGGCCATGTGTCGTGCTCTGCAGAGACTTTGACATTTCAGCATAGGCCAGTATCCTTTGTCTACAAAAATATGTCACGATTTCAACTATGATTTTCAAGATGATTCTCACTTGTCATTGGGACTTCTGCCTCCCACTTTTCCTGAAACTTGGTACAAAACTCACTTCCTTCGAGTACTACTACTACTGCAATCCATTTACACCTAATTAGTATTAAAATGTCTAATGATCTATTTCAGAAACTTGTGTACAATAACTATTATCTTGAGTCAAAACATTACTAGGATCTGTGTCGCTCTGCATTTCATAGCTCATCATACTCATTTATCTTTAATTCTGGTCTACTTAAAAAACAATGTTAAACTCTTTAGCAGTGTGTGGAACCTTGGGTGTCCGAACATGCAACAATTACTCCCTCCTTTATCAAGGATTTAAACCTATGGTAATAACTATGCCACAATGGTGAAATCAACACTTTAGATTGGAATTTTATATGTGGCTTGGCACCAGCTCTCTCTTTAACATTATTAATACAAATAAAGATTTGTCTTATAGAGTGGTTCCTAAAACTATCCTTTTAATGGTGATCAATATTGTAACCAATGAGATCGCTACTTTATTCACACGTGAATAAAAATCTCTTAAAGAATGATTTGTTAACATGATGAAAATATTGAAGAATATGGTTCTACTCTGTCAGTGTGTTTTAGGATGATTATCATTTTACTTTAATAGTTTCCTCTTTACTGCTATTTTGAATTTACCAATTGATTAATAAATCTTTCTATCTTTACGTATTTATGAAGTCAATTCAAGTTATTTAAATGTGCGTTTTGTGAATAAGTGTGTTTATGTGTAACTCACTCATTCCCGTTCTCCTTTTCTCCTCCCCTGGTTTTCTCAAGCCGTGACCCCGGCCTCCTCACTTCTAATCGACCATGCCAACTCCTCTGATTCTGTCTTCTCTTCAGTCCATCAGCTGTTGAATCCATCCGCTGTAACTTTTTTAGGCAGCCATTGGCCCAGTCACATCTGCAGCCCCATCATGCCACTGTTGTTGCACTCCTCCTTTACAGTCTCTCTGCTGTTTTTATGGAGGGCGGATTCTGCTCTCATGTCCTGTCTGAGGGGCTGATGAGAGTATCTCTCTGTATGTCAGCATGCTGTTTGGTTCTGGATGCCACAGGTGGAGATAGTTCTGGCTGCAGTCTTGATGTAGTCTTGTTGTTGTTGTTGGTTCAGCTCTGGTTCTCTGTCTGTACGATGGAGAAGGAGGAGTCTCCTGTTGGGTTAGGTCTTTTGTCTGCTTGGAGGGTCGGGATCAAAGCCTTTCTAACTCAGAGGGGGAGTCCAGGTCTCGGGACACCTTACCTATTGAAGTCTAGCACACTGATGTTAAATAAATCCAACCCTTTCCACTCTGTCTCTTTCTAATCATACTATCTGTCTTAGTTGTTAAATGCCATCTAAACAACATAATTAATGTCTACTAATGATATTACAAAAACTCACTCCAAAAATTGTTTCATCCATTGTTACATATTTACCCAACACAACTCTGAAATACTTACATGTTTCCAGCATCACATATTCCACACACTACGAACAAAAAAAAAAAAACATCCCCATATTTTCTCTCATTTTAAATCCCACTGTTACTTCGAACAATAGTAAACCTGCAGAGCACACCAATCGGATCACAGTAATGAAATTTGAATCAAGTGTAGGCCTATGTCTACTTTCTGAACATTTATTTATATTGTCTAAATTCCTTGTCTCTGATGTGCAAACAGTTCGAGTGTAAAATGTGTTTTTCACAATGTATTTACACTCTACAGATTCTTGAGTTTACCCATCTCCTGGTGCTGTCGTTGTAAAAAATGTTCAATTCCTTATTGTTTTGTACCAGTTTTCCAAAATCAGTTCTAATTAATATACTGGGCTATTGTCGTTGTTACTATTAACGTGCTTCCCGTCTTCAATACCGGCCAGCAATGTAATGAAAAATGTCAGGGGTGTGCTACCCCCTTTCAGCCACTAGATGGCAGCAGAAAAATGTCAAGGGTGTGATACCCCCTTTCAGCCACTAGATGGCAGCAGCAGAGGTCCGCAGACAATTGCTCACACAGGTATTTTAGGTATAAATCACACCGATTTATTCCCCGTACAGTTTGTCCAGCTTTTATAATGTGATGTTTATTTCAACAGGCTAGTGTACCTCGAATGATGAAACACAGATCGTGAAGAGCCCTTTATCCCACGTTAGCTTTTCAAATTAAGTTTACAGACAAAGGGAAATGCTCTCCCTCGATTTAAAATATAACTGACCTCTGGCTTTTAGCTTTCAGCCTTGGTCTGTTATTTAACCCCAGTTATAAACGGCGACCCGATCTAAAATATCGTGTTTCCAGGTTTTGTCGTGCAGGAATCAAACCTCGCAACCAAACAAACTGCACCGTCTCCACGCCACTCAGGAATAAACTACCTGCAGATCCGCGCCAAACTGCTCTATTTACGTTACGCAGGACTTTCCGTCTACCTGGCGATCAACGTTCACGTTTTGTATATAACTTTCCTAACATAGTAAAATATGCATTGTATATTCCATTTAAACTTCCTGGTCGTCTGGATTCTTCCTCAGCTTCGTTATATCTGGTACGTCGAGATCACCACTTGTTAGAGATTTAAAGGGATATCTGATCCGCTTTTCAAATCTCCGCGCGTCCCTATCAAGCTGGTTAATACAGGAAGGAATCCAGAGCTACCAAATAACCGTTTTAAACAATAATCTACTTTAATGATAATATGACAATGCAATACAATCAATACAGTACAAATTGAATACAAATTACCCTTGGGATCCCGAATTTACCTGCACATGTGCCAGCCAGAGGAAAGAGGCTGAACACCGCGTGTGTGTCTGTTTATACTCTTTGACAATGGGAGGAGTTATCAGATCCTCCCATTTAGAGCTCATTGATTGGCAGCCCAAATATCACAGACACCTCCGACCTTAGGTTTCCCCAACCACTGTAGCTAGATAAGTTGAATGCAAATCAAGACATGCTCTCACCTTCCCCCCCATCTTCCTTTGTCCTCAAAAACACATGTCAACAATTAAGCTAAGCACTGTAAGAAAGTGACAGCTCGTAAGGCTATAAATGGTGTTTGTGCTCTGTTGAAAAAGGTTTTCATTTGCAACATCCTTAAGCTTTCTTGCTGAGCAGAAGTGAAATAGATCTACTTAGTAAAACATTTAATTTGCTTTCCAGGCTCCTATCTGTAGTGATAATTACATTTTTGTTCAGTGGTGCTTGCCCAGTACAGAAGTCAAACATTTGGTTGTTTTGCGATTCTGATGCCAAACAACATAAACTACGGTGGCCGACAGGTCAGGAAAAACATTTCCTGCCTGAAGCTCAAAACACAACGGAAATCAAGGGACACTTAAAAGTGATGCACACAGCTGGGACCGGAAAGCTAGTTGATGTTTGTGATTATATTTGAATTGATTCTGAAGTTAAAGCACCTTTCTCCAAATGGAAATGTTTTGGGCTGTGGTAGCACGTTAACCTCTGTCAGCAACCATTATAAACAATGGACAGCCATAGATGGATATATTAGCTTAGAAATAACTGAAGATGCCCTCATAAGAAAATTAGCATTGTTCATTATTTTGAAACCTAAACATTTTTGTTTATGTATTTTGTTTTTGTTCTTCTGAGATTCTATAGATAACTGATCAGCAGTAGCAACTCAAATTCAAGATTAGGTTTGCCGCCTTAAAATTCAATTTATTAGTTTTAGGTTACTATGAAAGCTTTGGTTTTAACTGAAGGACTGCACTTCTGTGACGTGTGAGACCAAAGTCATGCTCCATCTCTTTGCCTCAGGGGAGTTTGGTGAGGTGTGCAGCGGACCACTGAGGCTTCCCGGGAAAAGAGAGATCCAGGTTGCCATCAAGACCTTGAAAGTAGGCTACACGGAACAGCAGAGGCGCGACTTCCTGTGGGAAGCGTCCATCATGGGCCAGTTCAACCATCCGAACATCATCCGTCTGGAGGGCGTGGTCACCAAGAGTGAGTCATCAGCATGTCTGTTTCTCGTTTGGAGCCCAATGTTCACCTTGTGAGATTTATAACACATGTCACACTGCAGATTACTGGGACTTCTCATGTGGCAGTTGTACTGTGTAGATGTAGACCAATCTGAAACTCTACTTCAGTCTTTAAGCTGGTCTTTGTCACGGTTGTTCAACATCCATCAGACTCAACTGCTCTTCATCAGTCAGGCTCACATGTTTCTCTGACAGCTTCGACTGTGCTTTATCAAGCTCAGTTGTACTTCTGAAATGAACTTTTACTGACTTGTACATACCATATATGTGTTCAAGTGGTACAGTACCACATTTAATTGCATATGTAAAACAATATAATATAAATAGCTGATACCTAAGTGAGAAAATAATACAATTACAAATGATTTTATTTAATGTATTATTGTTTTTGTGATTAAATTAATTCAGAATATTTGTCTTCTTAGGCAAGCCAGTGATGATCATCACTGAATACATGGAGAACGGATCACTGGACACTTTTCTCAAGGTAGGAACAAGGATGTTTGTGGGGAATCTAGGGAGAAGGATGTTATGAGTGAAATAGGATGAAAGGTGGCGGGGATTATGAGGAAAAGTCCGATAATAATTATATGAAGGAGACGGTTGATAAAGAGAAGGATGAGAGGGAGAAAAGGGAAACAGAAGGGGAAGCAGAGGAGGAAAGTTAACAGACACAATTGATTCTCAAAAATCAATACAAAAATAATTGTTACGCAGCATATTTGTGGTACATGAAAATGAAGTGGACTGGGCTCTCCGACATAAATAAGTAGTGGTCTGTACTGAAGTAAGTGGCACAGGGAGGAGAGTCACCAATGCCAAATTAGAAGGACAACAATCACAGGGGTGAAAGAGATGTTTAATCCTCTGGAAAGGAAACATATTTATAAGAGCTGTTTGTAGAGTTGATACACCACGGAGGGAGAATATGTCCACCAAAGCTATCATTAGTCCAATTCAATAAATAATCATTCTACACATCCAAGCAGAAATATGCGGGGAAAGAATATGTTATGGATAGACACATTTTTGAGTGTAAACAACACAGATGGACTGAAGTTGGTAGGTGCTGCATTGACGTCTTTCAAGGGGAAAGCAATGTTACATTTTGCATTCAAGTTGCCACGATTCCTCTTTCTCTAAAGCATTTAAGACAGAATTCAATCTTACTGAACAATCCGAGGAGCCCAGACACTGCGTCTATATACTTCAGATTTTAAAACAATTTTGAAATGTGTATTAACTCCATCGACAAGACGGATCACTTTGCCAGAAAATATGAAAGACATCTGAGCACTCAGGGTCTGGAATCACGTCCTCACTGTCTAGACAATTTGGACTTCGCTGAGAGGGAGAAGGTAATGAAGGCTGGCAATCCACCTGAATGGAGTGATCCCTCTCCAGAGCACTTAAGTCCATTCACTGGTTGCAATTGCAAGATGCTCAGTTGGCGGACAAGGCTACATCCTGCATGAAAAAGAGTCAACCTCCGGCAGCAGATGGCTAATGGAGAGATGATAGAAATATGGTCGTACGATTGCATGAAGGTAAGGGCATATTTCAGAGCATGGAAACGTAGGAAAGGTGAGAATAATATGGGGGTGTGCTTGTAAGAGAATGCAGACTGGAACGAGGAAAGTACTTTGCCTGAACAAGATGTTCTGCGATGGGAGGAAGTTGCGAGACAAAAGAGGAAGGATGTTCTGTGGTCACTTGGAAAACTGCTGACGTAACTGCCCTGTGTGCCATGGGGAGTAATCAGGGATGGCAAAGTGAGGCAGAAGAGTTGGGAGACCAGCAGGCGGAGCAGCATGAACAACCCTGTGAAGTAATTACATGGATGGCTGGTATATTGAGGCCGGTGCAAATGACACAGCCGTGAGAGAACCAGTGGTTGGACTGGCTCCCGGATTAAGGGTCACAGCTACGGACAATGAAGTATGAGGCTCATAACTCACATCTTTGGCTTAACATCTCATTTCCCATGTTAGTGGGACGCTCTGCTGCTGGGGATGAATGGGGAAAGAAGTAGTTGCATTAGTGAGAGAAAACATGAGAAGGGAAGAGAGCTACATTTCTACTGTGGACATGTGGGAAAAGGATGAGTGGAAGGTTGGATCGTTGACATTTGGATTGGCCGAAGCTTGGGCTTTGAGAGCTGTCATTGAGAGAAAACTCTGATTCGAGTCAGCCTGGTGGAAAGGTTTTCCATGGGAGAGGAACAAGTGTTTGCCAAGATTTAAATGTGATTTCATCAATGTTTTGTTGTAAGGCTAACACCTTCTTATTAGCTGTTTATTGGGCAGAAAAACCTCCTTTCATTTGAGGTAGTGGGTTCCGCCAGCTATTCCAAAACCCAATAGTCGAAGAAATGTCTCAATTTAAGGAAAGCCCATTTTCTTATCAGCCGGTAATCCCGAAAACAGGTGGCCATTGTTACGCAATTTCACACTCTACCTGCAGTGAGCAAATGGCTATATTATAATCGTCAATACGTTTTTCTGGCTATGGTGAAGGCATAACCTGATCTATTTGGCCTCTGGTTGGCTTACCCTGGCTTCCTGTTTGAGGTTAATGGTTCAAAGCTACATTAGCTGTAACTAGCATAACACCCTAAAACGGGTTGCATGCAGTTGCATTGTGGGTGTTGGTATTGACAAGAAAGAAGAATGTCTGGGATAAAAAAGACTTAAGAAATCTTACGTTCTGCTGCATCAATTTCTTTAAAAGAGTAACAGTGTTATAAGAGTGCAATGCTAAATCATGAGTGGAGAACTCGTTTACATCCCTTCAAGGAAATACCTCCTGACAAGCATACAGTGGCAGAGAGAAAGAACATTCTGTCCTTGGCAAAAGGTTCTTTGCCCCATAATCATTTTTTGCTTAGTTATTAAAAAGGCCTAATTACTAACTTGGGGTATGGAGATTTGAAGGTCCCACTAGAGGGAAAGAAGGAATGAGAAAGTGGCCGCGACTTGCTCGAGGGCAGGGCGATTTAATAAAACATGCTGTGACTCTGGACAGCAGAGCAGCAACGACCTTTGTCTGTATTTGTAATTATTTGATTATTTGTAATTTTTGGGAATGAGAGGCAAGGAGAGTAAGATGCAATAATGTGTTCCCCCTATACAATCTTTCACTCCCATAAAGCTGTGAGTTGAAGTTGGATGTTTTTGCAGAGGTCTGTGTTGCGATACTATTACTTACAGTAATTGGCTTTGTGGCATGAGTGGCTGTGTGGCTTTATAGCTTGAAGGCACTTTTTAAACGTTGATAATGGAATGCTTGGCCATCATTTCTTCAGAGGTCATACATGATCTCTATCTTTTTTTCTTTTTATATTGCAAGTTGAGCTTTGCAGGCTAAACATGGGAAACATTATAGAAAATAACCTGCATTGATCCACATTGTTACCCAGCAGTTTTCCAAACAATTCTGATGTCAAACCACTTTTGAACTCATTATCATGACGTGGCCATTACTTTGAACTGTTTTCATAGACTGTATGAAGTTGTTTATCTAAAGAAACAGCTTTCTTTCTGTTCTTACCTTCAGAAAAACGATGGCCAGTTTACTGTAATCCAGCTGGTTGGGATGCTGCGGGGAATTGCCTCTGGCATGAGGTACGCAAACACACAATGTATTACTGAATGCATCCTTAGGTCACAGTGCTTGGATTTAAACCTCTCCTTTGTCTGTATACATGCAGATATCTCTCCGACATGGGCTACGTTCACCGTGATCTCGCGGCCCGTAACATCCTGGTCAACAGTAACCTGGTGTCTAAAGTGTCAGATTTCGGCCTGTCCCGAGTCCTGGAAGATGACGCAGAGGCTACGTACACCACACGGGTAAGACTGAGCATGTTGTTGTATGTATAATAGGGCTGCAACTACTTGTTATTTTCATTGTCAATGTATCCATACATGATTTTTCAGGTAATCCAGCCTACAAAAATCTCTGACCAAGTTTGATCCCAATTCAGCAGGACATCAAAGTTCTGAAGTTCATTGTAGAGATTCATCAATTGCAATCTTCTTGTCCAGTTCCCCTTTTTGAGATTTGAAAGTCCTACCTGCAGATACAGATTATTTCCAAGAGCTATATTTGGTATAGACAAACATTTTTGAAACGTTTCTGTGAGTAAGGACAGCTTTTTTTCAACTTGCAGGTGTTTTAAACTGTGGACTTCATTCTTTAGCTTTTATCCAGCAGGTACATTTCCTATCTATAAACCCAACCAGATTCATTTCTGCAGCATTAACTCCACTAAAGCCAAACCGTTGTAAGTGATAATTACAGTAGAGTTTTTGTTGTTTTCTGTTTTCTTTACTCGCACTCAAGCTCTTTTACACTAAGTTGAAGAATTTGATTGTCATGCAAGTGGATTTTTGAGACTAATGTATAGATCTGCACATCAATCATTTTTGAGCAGTAGTGTTACAGAGAGAACAAGTCTAAGTACACTACACGACCCCATGTTGTGTCTTCGAGGTCATTTTATATTCAATCTGGTGTGTATCTATGTATGTGTACAGTGAATTGCGATATAACAAACTTTTGATTACGTTGAAAACTACAACCAACACACACATATATTTGCATTCACACATACACACTCAAAGGCGGCAGCAGCGGGTTTTAAATGAAGCTGTGTGTCCCAGGCCTAGTGGAGTCCTGTCAGCCAGAGACCAGCTGCTTCCTGCAGGAGCCAATTAGTGCTCGCTCGGTCTCTGCAACTCTCAATTAGCACCGAGTCGTGCTGCCTTAGCGCCCAAATATCCTGTCATTCACCTCTCACTGTGGCGGGCTACATCTCTTCTTCTCCTCTCCCACTCTCTGACAGAGCAGTGCGAATAACGTTATTCACACCCTTCAAATAGTCAGACCCTGAGATATCCCGCTGCTGTGTTCATCAATACTGCATCAAGCTAATTTCACCACTCATCAGCCGAACACACATTTTCTTCTGGAAACTCAGCAGTCATCCTGTGAACTTTTCTATCTTTCCTATGAAAGAGCGATAATGAAGCAGAGGAATGTCACACCCCCCTAACAGTTGGGACAGGGAATTTGAAAGTGAATCTCTGCTTCATGAATGTGTTCCTTAATTGGTATTCATTAGTGTAATCGTCGGTTGGACCACATGCAGCAGAAGTGTCTCAATTAAGGTCTGTTCTTTGTGCAACAAAATGTGAAAATGTTCAATGCCTGCAGCTGTATGTCTTTACCAAAAGATCGTTTTTGTTGTACAGCACTGAGTTGATGTCGATGTAAACGTATCAGAGCTATTCATTTCAAGCACCAAAACACGTAAGAGTTATATTTTCTAAACCCAGTTTCAGTATTTTTTTTTTTAAAGTCATCTCGTTACATTTTTTCAAAGGGTGGGAAGATTCCTATTCGCTGGACGGCTCCCGAGGCGATCGCTTACAGGAAGTTCACCTCGGCCAGCGACGTTTGGAGTTACGGGATCGTCATGTGGGAAGTGATGTCATATGGAGAGAGGCCATACTGGGAGATGTCCAATCAAGATGTAAGTTTGATTTGATTTCGCTGTATGATTCTTCAGTTTGAACTATTCACCCCATAATTCAAAATCGAAAGCAAGTGTTCAACCAGGGGTGCATGCAAAAAAGCAGGATTATACAATAGCCATGAAACATTTTAGTAACTGTTTTGCTGCTTTTCAATCCAACCAGATCTTCATTGGCATTGTCTTTCCTCTAATTAACACAATATCTTGTTAGTTTAATCCATAGAAATTCATTGTCAATTTCACGTTTTACATGGGGATTATGTACCGGACTATACTATATAACTTCCTAGAGTTGCCTGGCAACCTTTCAAGAGCCAAGAAGACATGGTCTGGCAATTAGCAAATGAAATATATGGTATATCTCATTAGTCACTTTCAGAGGTGCTGGTAGACACTTGTTACCATTTGACAGAGCCAATTTCACTCGGTCTCCCGGCTGTGGCTATTGATCTTCTCATCTAATTCTCCGCCAGTAAACGAACGAGTATATTTCCTGAAATGTAATTTTTTTTTTCCTGAAGAGTCTTTCAAAAGACGTTGTTTGTCTGTTTTCAGCAAATTAAGTTTGATCCTCAACTAGGACAGCCTTTTTAGCCTTGGGGTTGAGACAAGAGTCATTATTGTTTTTTTTGTATTATTATAAAGATTTTCACAGTGGGTACCAAAAGTATCTAGAAAACAAAAAGTATTTACAACAAACATAAGTAATACTTCAATCCATCAATCAATCAAAGACAAAAACGAGGAAAATCAAGTCTTTGTTTTTCATGATTACAGGTATATTGATATTTGTTATATAGTTATCATTAAATAAAATATATGTTTAAGCTACTGTTATAGTGAAATTAGTTTGTTATATTATAATGATGCATGGGACCATTTGAAAATGTCTTATGACAATAAACCTGGCTGCAATTTAATATATTATCCCAAAAAACATCCAAATATACTTTAAAAAATGATATATAGTGGAAAATATATATTTATTCAACAAACAATTATCAAGTTATTGTGTTAAGTCTTTTTTGATCTGCGATACAATGATAAATCACTTATTCAAAACTAAATCAGTTTATAAGTTGACAACATCAAATGATTTATTTCTATAAAAGTAAAAAAAAATTACGCAAAACTCCATGCAATGTTTTATTGGGAACTTATGAATTGCCGACGGAGAAATAGGAAGAAAAATACCTGTAAGGTGAAATATAACGTGTTTCCTGTCAGAAATGGAGGTTGAAATAGGGAGGGCTATGCGGGAAGCTGTTATTATAAATATATTACTGCAAAGTGTGGACAATGAGGAGGAAAAACCTTAATGGAAACAAACAGCGAGACATGGCAGGGTGTAGGGAAAGGAGGGAGACAGGTGAAAACACATGGAGGTGCTGAGCTAAGCAGAAAACCATGAGCAGGGGAAATAACAGGCTTTCTATATATATATATATATATATATATATATATATATACCCATTATCCTTATGGGCAAAACTGTTGGTAAAATGGAACAGGAGGCCTTTCTTTCATCCCGGGGTGTATATAGCCACAGTGGGTATTTTTGTTGTTTATAGCACAGCAGACACACATGAATACTGTTTACACCCAGGCATACATTTAATTATGTTTTGATTTTATAGGTATTTTTGGAAATGGCATTCATCGTTAATAACTTATCGGATAAATCTCTTTTTTTTTTATCATGTTGTGTTTTTGTAAGCCTCACATATTTTAGAATGTTGTGTTTTTTGACCTTGATTTTTATTCATGCAAAGTCAAAAAAAAAATCTCACGACTTCATATTTTTTCATAAAATCCCCCACATTTTATTTTTAATTATATACATTCTTTACCATATTAATATTTTGTACTTTTCATATTATGTTATACAACATTTGTGCATTCTCTAAAGGTGTGTATGCTTGTTTATGTGGGTTAAATATAAAAAAATATATATAAATAATAGGTTTATATAACACATTAGGGTCTAAGGACAGAGGGTGTCGTATTATCATACTGATATTCTGTACAAACTGTGAAGTCCACTGAGACAAATGTAACATTTGTGATATTGGGCTATATAAATAAACATTGATTGATTGATTGACATTAGAGCCTAAGGTTTCAAGAAGCAGCAATTTAAGAAATATTTGGCAAAATGTAAATGTGTTACTGCTGGCAGTTAGTTACTCAGCAAGATGAAGAAGAGAAGGTGATGAAGACAAACGGGGGGCAGGTAGCACCTACTTCAATTTGCAGCCCTGAGGTCATTTTAATGAGGAAAACTGCCATCCTGTCACTAACCGATGAGTGAGAATGTAGCATTTCCCACCCACCCACCCTCTCACACACTCATATGTACGCATACCCCTCCGGTGACCTCCTCATCCCCTCCTTCAGGCCCCTCCCTCCTCCTTCTGGTTATTAGGCCGTCTGTCTGAGAGAAGTCTGGAGAGGAGCTGAAGATGAGAGGAGAGCAGAGGAGAAGGCGTTTGATGTTTAATTGAAAGCGTTATGCTGGATTTTCTCTGATCTGCGGCAGAAAGTCTCTGGCTCTCACACTCTCTTTCCCTAAGCTCTCTCCTTCTGTTTCCCATTTCTACCCCTTTTTCCTCCTCTCCTTCGCCCTCTCTTTTGTCTCCTAAAATGTGCAATCTCTGTCTGTTTTCTTTTCCTTCCTTCTCGCCCACTCTGTCTTTTCTTTACCTCCTCTGATCTTTCCTCCCTGCCAGTCAGCATGTGTAGTTCTTCTCCTCTCTCAGCACGATGTGATGCTTCTCTCTCGTGCGCGCCTTCCTTCGAGCTTACGTTCCCTTTCATTTCGTGTGTGAGAGTCCTATCACATCTGTCTTTTGTGAGAATTTGACTCAAGCAAAGGCTGTCATGAACTCGACAAATCAATTCCCTGCAGTGTCTTGCTCTGGCAGAACTAGGCTGAAATAACTCCAGCCGTGCTATCCAATGCGGGGTCTAACAGAGAGAGCCGCGGTTTATTTATTATTCATCTAAACTCAATTTTAGACCCCCCTCCAAAAAAAACAACATTTCTGTGATTCAGTGCTGCATCTTGCGGAAATGATTAACTGGGCCATGCAGCGGATCAAATACACGAATGATGCTTTGTTGATCCTCGCAGGGGAGTTGGTTTTAACTTCACGGAGGTTTCAGCGTAGGGTCAGATAGAAGGCAGCAGCATCCCTGAAGCAAAATACCCGGATTCATAGGAGATGTGGAAGTAACTCTACTTTACTAGTTTGTTGTGGTCCTGCTGGGAAAAAGTTATTACATGGTTATGCGTCAAACAAGATCGGTCCTCTCCATGCAGTAGATTTCTCAAACTCTTTTTCTTTCATCTTTTCAAAGGTAATAATGGAGGTCTCTCTGGTGCATGTTGCATCATCGTATGCCCTCAAAAACACACAATGCAGACTCAAATTGGGGACACTTCTTCTCTTAAATCCCAAGTTTTAAACACGCTTTAAAATCCTTTTGTCAGATTTGAAAGATGTAACAGCTGCATGGCTAAATATTGCTCTGTGATGATAACACCCTGTTTGGTTTAAGTTGAACAGTGAACAATTAGTATGTTGCAGTTACAGATACTATTAAATGCCTTTTATATTATAGATTTTATCAGATTTATTTATGAACTATTGACGCAAGAGAAATGCTATTGTTTTTATTTCATTTGGGTTTGTTGACATTGTGTGTAAGTGTTGTTTTTAATGTAGACCCGAGGAAGCATATGTTAATGTGGTAATAAAAAATGGGAATCCGAAGTATAATTGTTTTTTGTAAATACATAATATGTTTGGAGGAGAGGGTTGAGACATGACAATTGAGGTTTCACGGATATGTCCAACTGAGTGTTACTCTTTATCCTTCTTAGCTTGAATGACGACTCATTTGTTAGTACTTCTTTCCTGATTTATTGTACCACTTTTTCTTTTTAAATCCTGACCCCTATTTGTGTTTCTCTATCCCATTTTTCTCTCGCAGGTAATAAAGGCAGTGGAGGAGAGCTATAGGTTGCCGGGTCCTATGGACTGCCCCGAGGCTCTGTACCATCTAATGATGGACTGCTGGCAGCGAGAACGCAGCAACCGGCCCAAGTTTGATGAAATCGTCTGTCTACTAGACAAACTCATACGCAATCCCAGCTCATTAAAAAAACTGGTCAACTCTTCACACAGGTAAGGTTTCCCTGCACAATATATACAAATATAATATGATATTTGAATAACATATACATGTCTTTAAATGTTAGCCTTTTTGTGAATATTTTTTAATATTTCAGGACTTATTTATCACTCGCACTTCTAGTAAAAAACCTTTCAAGAAAATATGAATATTTGTTTTTTCACAGGCTTTTTTATCTTAGAAAATGCATTGTTTGAATTGAACTTTTCATTCTTAAACCCAGGTCTGCAAGCTCATAGATGTAGCAATTCAAATTAAATGTAAAATTAGTCTCCATTGAAGACTTGTCTGGCTGCATAATAAAATCGGATGGACATAGTCTCTAACGGCAGCATGCCGGCAAAGAAGAGGAGAGAAATAAATGAAAATTGCTCAATTTCTCAGCAACTCCACATTAGTGTGAATTGGATGTGTGTTGTATTCAGTGGGGTATCTTCTGATAATCGTAACAGTGGAATATTCAATTAGTATTTCCCCACTATGTACATGCATTACATTAGTGTATAATGGCATGAAACGGCTATAAACGCTAGGACATTTAGCCAGACAGCCTCATTACTATATTTCCTTTGTACAGATAATGAAGTGATGTGAAATGTTTCTCTTTCCCACTTACACACACAAACAGACACATGAACAGGGTTAATAATGTAATGCCATAACAGCCCATGCAATAACATGTGACAGTTAGCCAGATTAAAGAGACGCCTGTCCTTGTTCCACACTTCTCTCCTGTCCTAGCTACAGCGTGGAGAATGCTGTTAGCTTGCATGAGCGTGTCTCTTTGATAGCGTGGAGAGTGAGCGGAATCACAAAGAGTTTTGAGTGGACAGCGTTTTCAGCTTTGCGTGATGGTGCACAACTAGCATAATGAAGCATCACTGTCAGGACTTCGGAGCTCAGCCCTGGGCCTCAAAATGTATTTGATTGCACCGTTCCTTAGTATTTATATGATGATGTTAAACAGGGCTGGTGCGAATGAAGTCTTTAAATTGTGCCAATGAATACTCCCTGAAAAAAAGCATGCTTACATTTGATTACTGTCTTACGCTTTCTTTTTCTGCTATTCATCTTCTCAGGGTTTCCAACCTGTTAGTGGAGCATGCCAGTGTGGAGGGGAGCTGCAGCGCTCGGAGTCAGACGGTGGGCGAGTGGCTCGACTCCATCAAGATGGGGCGCTACACTGAGCTCTTCATGGAAGGAGGTTACTCTTCACTGGAGACAGTGGCTCAGATGACTTCAGAGTAAGGCCACTTATACAAATACAAGCATGAAGAAGCACTAGTATGTATTTTTAAATAAGCTAATACACCTCTTTGTCATAATCTTTTATAGGGACTATTTATTTGTGGTAGGAAGTTGATTTTAGAAGTCAATTAGCATGATACAGACTAAAATGCAGCACTTAGAAAAACTGAAGTAATTTATCATTGCTGCTTTTTTTATGTAGAGGAGCAATAAACATTGTCAAAAAAAGGTTTCTGAAGGTCCGAACAATATGCACAATGTACAGATAGCTACAGTTACTCAGAATGACTTATCAATAACTTGATAACTATGATAACTAAGTCTCAGTATGACTTATAAATAATGGCATTATTTTATATTGCTATTATCCCGATATCTGAGAGCTTGCCTAATAACACATTTATTCTCTTGCTTTTAAAAACACTGTGCTACAACATCAATATAAATAGTATCAAAATGCTGATTGTATAAAACCTTAACATCACTTTTTTTGTAAGTAAAGGGATTTTCTTATCACTTGCATTCTGTTGTTTTGTATTTGTTAGCAGACTGCTTGATAAATAAGGGCCTTGTTTTTTCTGTGCTGTTTTTCAGGGATCTCCGAAGAGTAGGAGTGAGCCTTGCCGGTCATCAAAAAAAAATTATCACTAGCATTCAAGAGATGAGAGTCCATATGAACAGCACCAACTCTACTGTAAACATCTGATGCATATGTACAGGCATGCGCACACACACAAATACACACAGTATATGGACCTAGTATGTGACGAAAAAGACTGAGATTTGCAGCTTAGCACTTTCTACGGACAAAGGCACCCGATGTTTATGGATCTAAACTGGAGAATCCACACATTTGTGGTTGGTGTGTGTGGAGTTTGCTTGTGGTGTCATCGGGGGGATTTGACATTGCAGCAGTTAAACCAAACTGAACTGAACTGAACTGAGTGGTGCTTCACCGAGGAAAGAGAGCGTGGGGCAACATCATTTTAAATATTCAGTTTCTGTGACTCTTGAGCATTGTGAAGTCTCTGTTTGGATTCTCTCAGATCAAACATGAATCATAGCCTGCAGATCTGGCTCTGAGAGCAACCAGCACTTTTTGGCTCTATAACAAATATGGGAGTTTCACGCAGCAGGCTCAAACTGAACTTTCTCAGCCTGTTTCAGGTGATTTGAACCCAGTGGATCTGAACATTTTGTCTGACAATTCTCTCTGGAAATGGAGTTCCATCACGAGTCATTGAGCTGATCGCCATTCTCAGGTGGGGAAAATGTAATAATGCATCAAGAGCAACGTGATCATTAGCTTCAGTCTTTGCTTTGCCATGCTGATGTGCTTTGGATGTTGTTTTCCTGACTCAGGCAGGTCTTCATGCGACAGGACTTCATTTTTAACACAGCTGTACCAGACTCATATTTAGCATCATATACGCTATTATCTTCTAAAGCAAGACAAGATTACAAAATGAACAACTTCGTTGTTGAAAGAGACTGAATATATATAATAGAATAGTCTTTGACAAGTGACCCGTCTTGGTCTAGCTTTGTCCAGAAAAGTTTTGGTTTTATCGAAACAAAGTTAGAAAAACCATGAGAAAATACAGGTCTTTACGAATAATGACTCCTCTGGCTGAATGTATAGCACTACACAACACATTACGCTTGGTTGCAGCATCAACTTGGTATTCAAATGCTATCGAATAGGGCTAGAATGTGAGGATAGAACCATTCTGGTCCTAAATCTAGCTTCTGAATGAATCTGATGATTGTAGAAGACATTGAGCTGGCATCCTGTCATCTTTGCTCTGAAACTGTAGAAATTCCCAAAAATACCTTGATGGGTTTTTGAAAAACTCATTAAGTTATCAAGTCCTAAACCACACAGATTCTGATTTAAAATGGCTTCATCTAACTGTATACTTTACGCATGTTTTATTGGGAATTTCACTCGGATGCCGGTCAACCCTTTGTTCTAGCAACATCATCAAAATCAGTCAGCTTCACCTCGAGGTATAGAAAGAACTGAGATCTACTGGAACCAATTATCTGATACTGATAGATCCTTCTCCTAGATTCTGATAGACCTTCATACACGTTCTACAATGGACATTGAAAATGCCATGTTCTAATGGAAATATCACGTCATGTTTCAAGGAACTTCAAGGAGGATTCAGCTGGGAGATTCATATGGAAATGCAAGTACTGTTTGATCAATCCGGATGAACGATTGCTCTAGTGATTGATTAAGGAACTTCCATTCAGATTCTCATGGAAAGGATTGCCCCGATTCTGGTGGTACTGTTTACTGTCATTTTTATGGAACCCTTCGCTCAGATTTTAATGATATCTCTACTAGGATTCCAATGCAGCCTTCACTCAAGAGTGCACTCAGATTTTATGGAGCCTTCACTTACAACCGACAACCTTCAGGTACCGCAGGAAACCCTCAGCAATCTGTTCAGTTCACCAAGCCGTAGTCTCTCTCCACTACCTGTCTGACACATCACAATACACCTCATTCTTATGGAACTGCTGAAGAAAAAGGAGGCAATATTGATAATCATTTATTTATTTATAATTGTTTTTAAAAAATGAGTAAAATGGTGTTTGTTTCATCGTTATACTCTCTCTTGGACTACTGAGCAGCTCTGCCTACATGTCTTTCATGTATATAATGTATTATATATTTAAAGCAGGGAGCATTGTTCTTCTGTCTACCATCCTGTGGACAAGTTGGTATTGATCAAGCATCTCATTAGTAAATAGTGACAATTATTCTGAATCAGCATTCCTGCTACTCTGGCACTCTGAGGTGGGGGCAACCAGCACATCTGTCTTCATATATGGGTGCCCAAAAGGGTAGCAAAATTATCAAATATTCATGTTTTGTTGATGGTAATTGTGTTTCATTTCAAGTTTTGGTGAAAGACCTAGAAATATTTCCAGAGGCCCTCAATGAGACATACTTGCAGGTGTGGGCACAGGGATGGATATATGTACTTCTGATATGGTTTAAAGGTATACAATGATGTCAATGACCAATCCCTTGCTTTACTTCTCTTTGGTATGTCAAAAATTGCTACTCGGTGCTTTATTGATAAAACGTAACCCTTCCCCCTTTTGTTCATCTGAGCGGCAAATTAGTTCTGACGGTATATTTATCTTCTTTGCAGATGACATACTAATATTTTTCTTGGTAATACGCAGTGTACTGCTAGTGCTGTGGCTTAAGAGTGGAAACGAAATGAGATTGTAAAGTTAGTTTTTTAAGAAGTGGTTTCTCCTGACTGTTTGAAGAGTATAGAAAAGCACAGAAGAAGATTGTAAGGTTTTAAAGGGGGTATTTCACTTTTTTTGGAGGAAATGTCCCTCGAGGAGTTAAATAGAGGGCCTCATTGGTGGAAAAAAGCCACCTTACTTGCCACCTGATCAAGATTACATTGCATTTAGCTGACGCTTTTGTCCAAAGCGACTTACAATAAGTACATTCGACCAGGAAGACACAACCTTGAAGAAAACAGAATCATATAAGTATATCAGGTTTCATAGAGCCAAACATTTCAAGTGCTACTCAACTGGCTTTAGGTAATCCAGTCCTTTATTGGTATAAAAGTGCTTCGTTAATCGTTCTAACGCTCGAAGTGGAGTCGAAAGATCATGGTCATGTTTCTTGACTGGTTTTATAACAGATTGTCAGTGAGGAATGGTCACAATTCGTATTCTTTATGGGCATCTGTTTTTAAAAGTCAAAATGTTCTACCAAAGTGAAAGTTTTCTTGAAAGATAAACATCTGCATAGTCATTTTAGTCTAGAAGTATCACTTTGGAGGTTTGGCGCCAATGTGTGTGGGATTGTACTAGATCCTGGGAAAAATGGCTGCCAAAATAGCTATTTAGCATCAAAATATGTGGGTATGTCCCTCTATTAAGCCAAATTGTACATTTTTATTCAACCAAGTTTCCTTCTAAGACTCAAAAGTGAGTCCTACTTTTGGCATTCAAACATGTATCATGGTTATGCAGATCTTTAATTGAGCGGGGAAAGCATCAACAATATGGTGAATCTTTTATAGACAGTAATAGGCATGTACAGAGAAAGTAATTGTGCTGGCTGATCAATACCGCAGGCGTTAGATGACGTTTTCACAGTGTTCTGATCCCTCCCAAATGTCATGTTATTGGCTTTTTTACAACAAACTTAATTTCAACTTAAAGCCCACACCTGGGTTATGAACAATTGGTGAATAGTACACACTTATAAGTGCCTCTCATCTTACGAGCACCATTTATTTTCCTCCCCTGCCAAAATGCTATGCCCCAATTGTGCCCCAACTTTCTATGTAATTTGCTTGTTGCCAACAATATCTACAGGCAATAAGAAGAATGTCAGACATGTTGGAACTAATTTAATTTGCACTTTATTAGAAATCTTGTGCCCTTTTTGTTTGACTAAAAATGTCTATAGGTGACTGAATTTTCAGTGTCAAAGTTTTTCTTAATGATTTAATATATAGATATAATTACAGTATTCCCACTTCATATTCTCAATGCTTCCCATAGTTTTAAATTTGACAGTTAAGCACAAAGCATTGGTGATATTTTTTAAAGACAAATCAGAGCTATATATATGGAAAAGCGTTATTGATGTAGAGCACCATTTTCTTGTGTACGGCACAACGATACACCTTCAGAACGTAAGCACAGGGTCGGATAGGAATTTTAAAGGACGGTGAACCAACGATATGACTTTGTACACGCGTCAATAGCACTAGCCCTCGATGTCAACAAACTGTGGTGTTTGGCATTTTTTGCATTACCACTTGTAAAAAGCAGGTGTTGATGTGTCACTGGAAACAATACAGCTTAGTTGATAGTTGTTGCTGTGTGAGACATCTTCATTAATTCAAGTGATTTACTGTCAGCACTTTTGCAACGACGTGATTTTATTCTGGTCGTCTCTTTGTTAAACAACTGGAAGAAACAAAGCACAGCCAACCAGCAGAGACTTGTAAAGATTGTTGGTGTGTTGTTTCTCTACAATGACTTCCAGCTGTATCTCTCATCAAACATGCAGTAAGGTGTTATGCAGGAGCCCGTTTTTAGTGTCAAATGACATTACCAACATGTTTAATGTTACATCTGATTCAACAACTTTGTAGTTTGAATATGACTTTCAGAAGAGGGTAATCTAATTTGTTCACACCAATATAAACAGACATTTCCAGAACAAGTACTTGCAGGTGTACTTATTGACATTTTTGATTGAAAGCACCGCATAAACCGTCGAATAGGAGGTTTGACTGGATTCTAGCAAATGTACAAAAGCAATACTTAATTTCTTGTCTTTCAAAAAACATATGCACACACAAGTGCATGGCAATTTAACAACCATAAAAGGTTGCACTGACATCTGACTGGATTTTAAAATTATAGTGTTGGTATCTTTAAAAAATGTTAAAAATGGGTACATTTATTGGCTCATGGAAATGTGGTCAAAGTGGAACATGTGCAGCTTTCACTCAAAATATCAACATGCAGGTTTGCAGTTATTAGGTTTTCCCCAGGTCAAAGACAACAATCAATTTATCAATAATTCACTCATAAGGTTTTATGAATAACTGTTTTGTGATTCTTTGAAAGCACAGTAAAGATAATATTGGTGTGCTATTGGTTTGTCTTTGAGACTGTCATGTATTATGTTTGTGTTGATGTTTTTGTAGTGTGTTATAAAATTCTATATTTTTGCAATAAAACTTTTAAAACATCAACTGTTGAGGTAGCTGTTATTGTCTTATAACCTGACAGTTAGGGTCCCTGCATGATATACACAACAGGGGTTTCATTAGATATTGTTTTAATCTATGCATATGGAACCATCCTAACTAGGGCTAATGACCTAACATAAAGAAACGTGTGCTCTGAAGTTGTACTAATATCTATTAAACACACAGATATGCCACTTGACAACAAGTCATGCTAGCAGTTTGGCTCTATGTCTGACAATGAGTTGGTCACTTAACTTTGGAGCAGAATGAAATATTTTAACATCTGATGGATAGATTTTGCTCAAATTGGGTACAGCCATTCGTGGTCTCCATTGGCTGAATCCAACTGACTTTGGTGGCCCATTGACTTTTCATCTAGTGCCACCAGAAGTTCAATTTGTGTACCTATCCAGTAAAATATCTTCTTGGAACAATTGGATGGATCCCCCTAGGATTTTGTTCAGACATTCATATCATTTATATAATTGTATCATTAAATGTGATAACTTTGGTGATCCCTTCACTTCCAATTTAGTGCCAACATCAGGTCCACATTTAAATATTTCCGATACTTTGTTTTATGACCAAATATTTTTAGAGCATTTTCTTCAATATCGTAGTTATTTATTTGGTGCTAATTAGTAAATGGTGAGGTAATAGTAAGGTAATGTTTTTTCCATGTAATGGTATATGTGGATGCAGCTGAGTGCAAATCGTATCCCTGTTACTGTTCCGACTGTTCATTTTAACCAGTTAATAGACCAAACTACATAATGTGAACTGTTTTGAAGCCTAACATACTTTGTTGGGATTTGTGTTTCGTCTGTGTTTATATCCCTTGTTCGTTACTATGTAATGAGCTATTCAGCTAAACAACATAATTCCGGAAAGACGTTTCCCGGCAATGCAATTAGGCATGGTGTATTGATCGAAATACCAAATTGTCAGGGTAACAAATGGAGAATAAAACCCAGAGGCAGTTGTTGATCCACCAAGCAAATCCAATACTGCCCTGGTAAAGTAAAGAAGGCTAGCCTCAATAACATCGTCCCCATATATGTGCTGAGCTATTTGGTGAAATGTATTGTCAACGGTGCTTCATAGCTGACAACACAATCGAGTAGAATACAGTTCATGGTGGGGTTACAGTGATTATAAGCAGTGAAGTATTGTAAAATGCATAATGTTTTAAACCTGATGATGCAAGACCCGGCAATGATGTGTCTGTCAGATGCATTAGCTGCTGATGTCAGCAACTCGGGTTGTGTGCTCGCTCAAGGGTGAAAGCGTTGCTAACAATTAGCATACTATACAACACTGGTATATCTGATTTTGCATACAAATTCATACCGTGTGGTTTATTGCCACTATGTAGGATTTCTTTTGGCAGGTTTTACAATAGAAAATAATCGCTTAATGGCCTTTGCGAGAAAGAAAATCTCAAAATCACACGTTTCATGATTTGAGCGTTAACCTTGAATCATTTGTGAAGGTTCTGACAGTGCTACAGTAGTTTATATGTAAATATCAGCACCAAGTGTGTGTGCGTGTGTTTTTATGATGTCAAATCAAGCCTGGCTGATCTCTGGGGGAATCCGCTGCCTGCATGGCTCCAGGTGATTATTGCACTCACACACACATACATGTATGAAGGTGAAATTAGCCATTGCACCATCAGTATGGCTATTACCAAAACCTCTGTATCAGCGACATGAGGAAAAGAGTGTGTGTGTGTGTGTGTGTGTGTGTGTGTGTGTGTGTGTGTGTGTGTGTGTGTGTGTGTGTGTGTGTGTGTGTGTGTGTGTGTGTGTGTGTGTGTGTGTGTGTGTGTGTGTGTGTGTGTGTGTGTGTGTGTGTGTGTGTGTGTGTGTGTGTGTGTGTGTGTGTGTGTGTGGTGTGTGTGTGTGTGTGTGTGTGTGTGTTGTGTGTGTGTGTGTGTGTGTGTGTGTGTGTGTGTGTGTGTGTGTGTGTGTGTGTGTGTGTGTGTGTGTGTGTGTGTGTGTGTGTGTGTGTGTGTGTGTGTGTGTGTGTGTGTGTGTGTGTGTGTGTGTGTGTGTGTGTGTGTGTGTGTGTGGGGATCGGGATTGCACTGGGGCCATATATTCCCACTGGTGCTGACTGGGATAGTTCTTGGATAGATGGACAGGCGTGTGTTTCCATACATGCCTGCTTGTTTACCTCTCTGTGTTTTGACTGTCTCCGCCTGCCACACGCCTGTAAATCTTCATATCTGCATGACATTCTTTTTGTGACTCTATTAGGTCTCCCTGTCTGGCTTTGTGCTCTGTCGAAGTCTGCTGCTCTTTACGGTCTCGTCGTCTACGCCACCGTCACTGTGTCAGTCTAAAGTCAGGTATCCCAGGGCGTGATAAAGTAATTTTCTATTGAAGAGGTGTCAGTGGTCCACGCGTCCCCAGGGTCATTTGAAAATTCATTGCAGGGGTGTCTCTTTAATCATTATGAGTGACCTTCAGCAGAACCTTAACTGTCAGTTTAGGCGTGATAGTGTGAGTGTCTGTGAATCTATGGGTCTTTGTGTAAGTATGTCAGAATGTAGGCGTGTGTGTGGGTGCGCTTTTCTCTATCTGTATGCATTTGTAATTATGCACATCTACACCTGTCTGCTTTGCTTGTTTGTTATATATGGGCTGATTATGACATTTATGCTATTTTTATTTCTTAAGATGCAGGTTATCGTAGGAGTTGTGCAGGAAAGTGGGTCCAGGAAGTACTTTGCAGTCAAAGGATGGTGCTGATGCAGTATTTAGTGGGCTGCTTGTTTAAAATGGAAGTGCTGTTTTAAAGCAGGCTTCACCTTTTATAT